TGTTCATTAACATTATAATTTATTCTATTCGATTCGACGATTATTCAAAATCCTGCTAGTAATTGAATAAAAGGTAAAGTTAAACACATAAGCCTTGAAGTTTATAAACTATTGACATTAGAAGCACTGCGAACTAAAACAATTCTAACAGTTTCCTATAGTTTACAATGAACGGGCATTGAATTAGCGCTTCTTATAACATTTCGCATAGACGTTGCGATGTGTGACATAAAATAATAAACACACCGCATACAGAACTCTGCGTTATAGTTTTTTTATAGAAGATGGGTGCAAACGCGAATACGATTCCCTAGTATGTAACTACCGTCGCTCAAGAACAGATTTTTTTATAGAATAAGGGTGACAAATGAGCACACAGTCCACCTGAAGGTGAGTGGATGCTATGGATCATAGACATCCACATTTATGCTCAATTAAGAATCAAAATTCAGATGCGTAAAAGTAAGACGAAAATTCAAGTAAAACGAGTCTCCGGTTCTCTACACTCAGCATACGAAACACAGCAGCATTAAGTTGCTATATTATGCTGGTATTCTGTGAGGGCGTGTTCCTCCTACCATTCGTGCTACAGCCATTATATATCTGCAGCGTAGCTCTACCACGTAAAAACAAACACGCACCAGAGTATTGGAACGAAGTTCTTTATCGGACGGTACGGATTTGGCGGATGGGGGCTAGGCGACAAAAAGTGTAAGATTTTTCCGTCACAACCCCTTCTGGCGTAGTGTAGATGGCCTTGGCGGCTATAAAGAAGCGAGATGGAATAATACCCATCTCCCTCGCACTTTTCTTATCTTGCTATGAAAGAAATATTATTTTAAATGACGCTTCATTTTAATGTACGCTAGTAATTCATTTATTCGTATTTGTTAATCAATAATATAACATGTTTATCATTAATAATATACTACGAAAGGAACTTCGTTCCAACAGTGTTCCACGACACTCACGCATGTTTTTATTTAGAAGATACTCTACTTCAATCCCACGGTGTTTAAATAGCCGAATGTGGTTGGAATACAGTTATAGTATGACCGATTCGACCAGGGTAGGACCATGCTCTCACAGAAAACCTGCTTAATACTGCTGTGTTTCGTATGGTGAGTGTTAAGAACCAGAGACCCTTTTCTACCGACTTCACAAAGAAGGAGGTACTCAATTCGACTGTATGTTTTTTTATGTGTGTTACCTCATCACTTTTTTCGAGGTGAACTGATTTTGATAATTCCTTTTTTATTTGAAAACGGGTGTTTCTCGTGTGGTATATATAAATACGATCAAGATCTGACCAATTTTTAGTTTTTGAGTTATCCTTAGTAATTTATATTGAAGTTGGTTGTACATTTTTAATTTTACAACTTGTTACTGGTAACGATACATTCCATCTAAATATTTTAATTCTTAATATCTACCTCTATATACCTAGTCAGGTCATAAATTCTGTCACATGTTTAATATAAAATAATTGAAACAAGTTTATTTATTATGTAACCATTTATATACCAAAATGAACGTAACAAAACATAGATTCTTATGACACTAAATTTTATTCAAATTGACCTCCGTGATTTTGAATACAGGCCTTCAATCTGCGCGGCCAGTCGTCTATCGCAGCACGAACGAGGTCCATGTCAATATCGGCGGCTGCCTTAATCAAGGATGTCTTGAGTGACTCCAAATTGGGATGAGGCTTTGAGCACGCCTTTTCCTCCAAGTGTTGCCACATCCTGTAATCTAACGGATTCAAATCTGGACTGAAGGAGGGCCAGTCTTCGTGCCGGATGAAGTCGATTTCACGCGCCACCAGCCAGTCTTGTGTGCTCTTCGCTCTATGAGCTGGCGCCGAATCTTGTTGGATTACCCAGTGCCTGTTATTGAACATGATATGAGAAACAGGTTCCACAAGGTTCGTCAGGACTGTATTTTGATACACAACTGCATTCGTTTTTACACCTTTCTCACAAAAATGTACCTCTGAAGCCCCAATAAGAAACTCCCAACCATACCATGAGCAAGGATGGAAAATGACCTCGTTGGACACGCGGAATACGGTTGCTTGCTTCTTCACTACTGTGTGCGTACACCTTATCATTTTGTTTGTTGCAGCTCTCTTCTACGGTAAAAATTTTTTCATCCGAAAAAAGAATTTCCCAATTTTTTTCCCGCGCACCGCTTCAACAAAGCGGGGCATCTCTTCAGTCTCAGGTCCATTAGACGAGCATTCAAACGATGCCCTGTTTTTCTTCGAATGCCCGGAGTCCTAAGTCTTCATTTAACACCCTTTTAACCGTGGTCCTGCTTAACCCAATCTGAAGTGCCAACAGTTTCTGCTTACGTTTGGGATTTCTTTGAATTCGCGCCTTCACAGCTTTTATCACTGCTGGAGTCCTAACAGACCGAGGGCGACCACTTCTTGACCTGTCATCTACACTAGAGTCTTCATTGTATCGTTTGATGGTACGATAAACGAATCTTTTGGTTATATTCAAATTTTTCAGTATGTCAAAAATTTGAATTGGCGGGTAACCGCAACGATGCAACTCAATAACTGCAACACGGTCTTCTTAAACGTTCACTCCATATTTAAAAATGAGTAAAATTCTAAAAAGTATACAGTTTTATTTTCATGAACAATTCGAAATTCGAATTCGATAAACTATTTTGTGGCCAGCATTCTAAAAGAAAAGTTTTTACTGTGTGACAATACTTATGACCTGACTAGGTATCTATAGGCCACAGAGTCCACGTATCATCAGGTGGACTGTGTGCTCGTTTCTCACCCTTATTCTATAAAAAACATAGGAAGACACTGTTGTCCATCTCCTGGTTTGTTTCCTTCTGTCGCCTCTTACGACACAAACGGGACGGTATAGGGTAGTGGATATTCTTACAGCGCCACTGAACGGTCGAACAATCGGCTCTAAATCCGCGCAATGAATGCTGTTTGCCCCTGTCATTACACGCACTACTGATGCGGCCGAATACGATCGAGTGTTGTCTAAAATTACGCCTCGGTGCGTTCATTGCTTGTATTATTAAAATGCGCCATTTCCGTCGTTTATTTCTGCTCGGCTTGTGTTTTGTATTCAATGAGTGATGTGCTTCGAGATAAAAATTAAAAATTTACTTTTCGTAACTTTAAAGGATAATGCTTTCTTATATTTACGCTAATACAACACACCAAATAAAATTAGTTTAACTGACTTTATTGCGTTTAAAATTACTTTTCTAGCGACTTCGAAAAGGAGGAGGTATTCAATTCGACTGTATATTCTTTTTTTTATGTGTGCTACCTCATAACTTTTTTCTGCGTGAACCGATTTCGATGATTCCTTTTTTATTTAAAAGCTGGTGCTTCTCATGTGGTCTCATATAAATTTGATCAAGGTGTAACCAATAGTTTATTGAGTTATTCTTAATAATTTATATTGAAGTCTGTTGTACGAAATTTATAATTTTAAATTATATAATCCTCGACGTTTCGGTCACTTTCACCGCGATATCATGGGTGCTGTAAAGTGCCCGAAACGTCGGGAATTATAATAGTTAAATTAAGCGCGATAAAATCCGTAAAGTTTGTTTTATTTCAACTTTAATAGAGTTCATACTTTTTGATGAAACATGTTTATTGAATGAAACTAATTTAACGGAACTTATTTTTTTATGCGATAGAATCCCTAAAAGTAGTTTTCAACTTGAACTCATTTGCAAATCTTAGTCTAGACTTTTTTTATAGAATAAAGGTGACACGACATGATGTTAAGTAGATGCTGTGGTCCATAGACACCTACATCTATCGTCGATTAACAACCAAAACGCAGATGGGTTGTGACCCCTGAGGACTAAGATGGAATGCCTCGTTTTCAGTAAAAAGGGTATCCGGTTCTCTACACTCACCATACGAAACACAACAGCATGAAGCTGCTGTTTTATGTTGGTATAGAGCATGGTCCTGATCGAGACCCCGGTCGAGCCGATCCATTCGTGATACAACTATAATAGCTGCAGCATGACTATACTATGTACATAAACTAAAAATTTAAATTTCTATCCATTCATTCATTGCATCCTATAAAAGACCACTGCAAAACATAGGCGTGGCCTATAAATTGCCTTAAAGGGGGGATTTTGCCAAAGTTGCCACATGACAGACGAGTTGGCAACCGCAGTTTTTTTTAATAGGATAAGGGTGACAAACGAGCACACAGTCCACCTGATGGTAAGTGGTTGCTGCGGTCCATAGACATCTACATCTGGCTTTATTACGAATCAAAATGCAGATGCGTTGTCACCCGTGAGGACTAATGCCTCGTTTCCAGTAAAAAGGGTCTCCGGTTCTCTACACTCACCATACGAAACACTGCAGCGTTAAGCTGCTATTTTACAATGGTATTCCGTGAGAGCGTGGTCCATCCCCGGTCGAGCCGACCCACTCGTGCTATAACTATACCCACTACTAATATAGCTGTAGCATGGCTCTACCACGTAAATTTGAGTTGATATCAGGAACATACTGCACCATCACCCATTTCAATTTCCCTCTGTTACGACACCCACGGGAAGATATGGGGTAATGGATATCCTTATACCACCAATACACGTACATAATTTAAATGTAATAACATGTTACTATCCAAGATCCAAGAAATCACAAACCGTCGAAATATGAACGCTGATTTGTACAATAATACATCTAATTGCACGTTTAGCCGCTAATACTAACGGAATTGTGTCTAATAATAGTCGACCGATTTCAATTTACAGTGCAATCTTGTCTGGAGTTGGGCAACGATGTGAGTTTGTACAAATATTATCGCATGTAACCTAGACTGTTTCATTATAACTACATTTATTACCGACAATAGTGATATGTGTGTTATCGAGGACATACACGCTAAACACTACGAAATAGACCTATTTGCCAATTGTTTAGGACTTCTATATAATAAATTCCGAAGTATCATAAATAACATTTGATATTGACATTAGTTCTAGATTTTGTATTTTTAAATCAATTTAATTCTGACTCTCTTGACTTGACTTTGACTACGTATCGTTCGAATTTGCTATTGTGTTTGCTGTATTTTAGATTCAGATTTGACATTAATTTTAGCGTTACGGTTACGGCCTACTAAAGTCCCCTGCTGAACATAGGCCTCCCCCATAGATTGCCTCATAGGGGGGGGGGGGGGATATTTGCCATAGATGTTACGCTTGGCAAGCGGGTTGACAACCACACTTTTCTGCCGACTTCCAAAAAGGAGACGGTACTCAATTTGACTGTATGTTTTTACTGGGTGAACCGATTTCGATGATTTTTTTATATGAAAGCTGATACTTCTCGTGTGGTCCCATATGAATTTGATCAAGGTCAGACCAATAGTTTTTGAGTTATTCTTAATAACTTATATTGAAGTCGGCTGTACAAAATTTTTAATTTTAAATTATTATTTTTTATTTTTAGTCATTATTTGGAATACGCTGCTGCCCATCTCCTGATTTCTTTCCCTCTGTCACCTCTTACGGCTCGCCTCGGGACGTAGTAGGGGAGTAGTGGATATTCTTACACTGTTACTACACGTTTATAATTTATTATATATATAAAATTATATATATATATATATATATATATATATATATATATATAATTACACATATATATATATATATATATATATATATATATATATAATTAATAATCTTTTTTTTTTATAGGATAAGGGTGACAAACGAGCACACAGCCCACCTGATGGTAAGTGGCTGCTGCGGCCCATAGACATCTACATCTATCCTCTATTACAAATCAAAATGCAGATGCGTTGTCACCCGTGAGGACTAAGATGGAATGCCTCATTTCCAGTAAAAAGGGCCTCCGGCCACCTGCACTCACCAAGCGAAACGCAGAGGCAAACCTCTACTTCACGCTGGTTTTCTGTGAGGTCGTGGTACCACCCCGGTTCGAGCCGGCCCATCCGTGCGACAGCAAAAGCTGCCGCCTGGCTCTACCACTGTTAAAATCATAATCTTCATCAAAAATCAAAAACATAATCATTAATCTTATTTATTTCAATCAATTGACATGGATAATGTTATTATTATAGTTAATGTTACTTGTGAAAATTAATAATTTTAATGAGATGTATTTATGTACATATGTACTTCATTATTTACAGCGTATTAAAGTCCAATGTTGAACACAGGCCTCCCTTGTAAGAGGGATACTTGCCATAGTTGCTACGCTTGGCAGTTGTCAACTGCGGTTGGCACCCGCAGTTTTTTCATTATCTAGTTGTTATCAGGAATACGCTGCTGCTAGTCTCCTTGTTTGTTTCCCTCTGTCGCCTCTTACGACACCCATGAGTCGATATGGCTAGTGGATATTCTTCCACCGCTACTACATGGTTAATTTAATTTATATATACTTAATCTAATCTTATAAGCGTTTTTTGCCGACTTCAAAAAGGAGACGGTACTCAATTCGACTGTATGTTTTTTTTATGTGTGTTACCTCATAACTTTTTACTGAGTGAACCTATTTCGTTGATTCTTTTTTATTTGAAAACTGTTGCTTCACATGTGGTCCCATATAAATTTGATCAAAGTCTGACCAATAGTTTTTGCGTTATTCTTAATAATTAATTTTGAAGTCGGTTGTACAATTTTTTTAATTTTAAATTATTAATGGATACTTTTGTTAGTATTTGAGGTGCTTGTAAATAAATAAATAATTCCATTACGGACTAGGCAGGTGAGACTTGTGGTAGGACTAGAGCACGTGTAGTCGATTTAGGATTTATTTGCCTTAATCATCACACAGGTGCATTGATAATCGCAGAGTCAGATGTCTCGCATTTTAGACTTTGCCATCGGTCGCTGATTACGATTGAAATGACTAACGAAGTTACAGTATACCTGTAGCCGTTGCTACAGCCTCCTATGGACGCTTGCAACCAACTTCAAACAAAAACGGCTACGGATAAGTCATTACTTCTAACTACCAGTATAGGTGGTATGGCGCAGTGACTTCAGTTGCAGCGCTGAGGGTCACAGGTTTCAATCCTGTACGGATTGAGATGTTTGTATCTCTTACAAATATTTGTGCCGGATCTGGATGTATGTTCTTATGCAATGTATGTACGTAAACTGCCTCCACGATACAGGAAAAATCCTATTGTGGGGGTAACCTTTTTAGAAGAAGAAATCTAAAAACAAAAATAGTTTTTCGTCCTTAGGTGGAAAGGTTATGATATTTTGTGAAATTAACGGCGACGGCTTCGCTCCTGTGCACCACGGCATAGCCAAATATAATAGTATAGAATAGATTTTTTTTAATCATATAGATAACAAGTAGTTTCCATTGATGCATTTTATTTACTTTACTAACAAACAATATAATCTCTTGCGTAGAGACAAAGTTGTAATCTTTAATAATAATTTTAAATTTATTATTAGTTTTATCAATTTTTGTATTATTCTAGTCTTTATTTTCTTAATTTTTCCTTATATGTCCCATAGACAAAATTACGTCTCGCGACTGATTGTAAGTCCTTGATACTGCGGTCTCCCAACAAACAAAGACAGAGCTCTGTGTACATTTCAAGTTTCGCAAAAACCAAATTAAAACAAAGCTTATTGTAAGAACACGCATACATTTAAAATCATATGCATCCAGTAATATGGTTTAAGGTGCATGTGTGCCTCCACCAGTTAACTTTTACAGACTGTTAAAGAAAGAAACAAGAAAGATATGTATGTGACTGCGTATCAATTTAAGTGTAGTTTCTTCTTTCTTTGAAATATCCGTAGCGCTGCAAGAAAGGTAGGTCTGAAACTGCAGCATTATGCTGAGTCGGATGCCTATTACAGCAAACATCATCATCTTCATCACATTATTGTAGGCCTCCCTCAAGGAGTGTCACAAAGCATGGTCCTGAGCAACCTGCATCCATCGACTTCCTGTACTTCTCACCAGGTCGTCGCTCCTTCTAGTGGGGGCCAATCTACCCTTCGCTTACTAGTAAAAGGCTACCATTTATTTCTTCTCTATCGTTTGTCAATTCTTGCTGCAATAATGATTAGGCATGTCATTTTTTTTCTATAAAATAAGGGTGACAAACGAGCACACATTTCACCTGATGGTAAGTGCATTCTGTGGCCCATAGACATCTACATCTATCCTCGATTAAGAATCGAAATGCAGATTTGTTGTCACCTCTGACGATCAAGATGGAATACCTTCACCATTAAAAAGGGTCTCCGGTTCTATACACTCACCATGCGAAACACAACAGCATTAAGTTGCTATTTACGCTGGTAGTTTGTGAGAGCATGCCGCTCCCTCGGTCAATCCGACCCATTCGTGCTACAACCACAATATATTATATAACTGCAGCGTGGCTCTACCACATGTACTCTTACATCGCAACGAAGATAAGCTATAAAAACAGAAGACTAAATGGCCGTGGCCTAGTCGACGAGAGAACGCTTGAGGAGGAGGTCAAGCAATCCATACGAGTACAGTTTAAGCGTGCTATTAATAAGCCGTTTGTTTCATCTAATACGTACACACTTCGAAATTAGCGATGCATCTTGGCTTGTCGCCCGTATGGTCACGGATCAAGGTACATGCGTTCGGAATTGTAAGACGGTTTTCTGGTTAAGGTTGGCGTTATTACATAGTTATACGTATTTTATATAGGTAGTTACAGATATTACGAACAATGTTTTTCGCTGTAGTTGGAAAATAGTTATTTTATTTCGAGTTTATCTTACTAGGCCGCGAGTCGTAAGAGGTGACTGAGGAAAATTTAAACAGGAGATGGACAGCAGCATCTTCCTCATAACAAAATAAAATAATTAAAAACTGTGGTTGCTATCAACCCGCCTGCCAAGCGTGGTAACTATGGCAAAAAAACGCCTATAGCTTTGACTATTCTATGGCTATTTACGTGTGAGGTCATGTTCAAATGAGGAAAAAATTACTTTCAAGAATTCTATTTTGAATAGAAATTATTCTATTCTATTCTATTCCATTTCATTCCATTTTATTCCATTCTATTCCATTTTATTCCATTTCATTCCATTTTATTCCATTTCATTCCATTTTATTCCATTTCATTCCATTTTATTCCATTTCATTCCATTCTATTCTATTCCATTCCATTCGTACTACCGAGACCGATATTTGTGAATCTAAACCATTCTCGTATCTAATTAATCACACACAATATTTTTTTCAAAATCGGTCTAGTTCTATCGAGTTCGGTCACATACACACGGATATTTTTTTTTATATATTAGTTACAAGATATTAGTTGTTCAAGTTCAAAATAGTTTTGACAGACTTAACTACAAAAAAATTTCGTGATGGATCGACAAGGAGAGCGAAATGAGACGTCCTAAAAATAACAGAGCTATTGTTGGGGATTTGTGTCAATGCCGGCGCGACTCTTCCGCGGTCACGTGTCCAGGGGTGTGGTGGATTTATTACTGTATCGGTACATAGAGATTGATGCGGGGTATTCTACATTTCAATCGATGTGTACCGATATAATAATCAGAAATAAAGAAAAAAAGAAACATCTTTATTTCTGCCTATAAATGGATCGATAGTATTAAATGTTTTGGTATAATTTGATAACAGTCGTGTTAAGATACTATTTTTACCGTAAAGTGTGGAGTGACGAGGAATACTAAACATAGTTTTCTTGGTGATTCTAGTACGTTTTCTTTGCACATAAAACGTGACAGTATTCAGTAAATCCGGACAGTCAATACCATCGCGTAAAATATAATTTAGAAATCCCATATCTAACAGTCTTCGTCTTTCTTCGAGCCTAAGAAGGTTATAGTGTCGGCAGTCATCTAAATATGATGAGCTATTATGTTTAAATTTATAGTTCAGGTGTGAAATAAATTTACGTTGAATTCCTTCAATATTGTTAATGTAAATTTTAAAAAACGGTGACCAAACCTGGCATGCATACTCAAGAGTGGATCTTACATACGAAAAATAAACTATTTTAAGAGTTAGTAATTCCGTAAATGGAA